GTTATGCTTAAAATTCTACGAGGCAGGCTTAAGCAGTATGTGGACCGAGAACTCCCAGAAGTGCAAGCTGGATTTCGAAGGGGCAGAGGAACCAGAGACCAAATTGCAAACATGCGCTCGATTATGGAGAAAGCTAGAGAGTTCCAGAAAGACATCTACTTCTGCTTCATTGACTATGCAAAAGCCTTTGACTGTGTCACCCACAGCAAACTATGGCAAGTTCTTAAAGAAATGGGAGTGCCTGATCACCTCATCTGTCTCCTGAGAAATCTCTATGTGGGACAAGAAGCTACAGTTAGAACTGGATATGGAACAACTGATTGGTTCAAAATTGGGAAAGGAGTACGGCAAGGCTGTATATTGTCTCCCTGCTTATTTAACTTATATGCAGAATTCATCATGTGAAAGGCTGGGCTGGATGAATCCCAAGCCGGAATTAAGATCGCCGGAAGAAATATCAACCACCTCAGATATGCAGATGACACAACCTTGATGGCAGAAAGTGAGGAGGAATTAAAGAGCCTTTTAATGAGGGTGAAAGAGGAGAGCGCAAAATATGGTCTGAAGCTCAACATAAAAAAAAATGAAGATCATGGCCACTGGTCCCATCACCTCCTGGCAAATAGAAGGGGAAGAAATGGAGGCAGTGAGAGATTTTACTTTCTTGGGCTCCATGATCACTGCAGATGGTGACAGCAGTCACGAAATTAAAAGACGCCTGCTCCTTGGGAGAAAGGCGATGGCAAACCTAGACAGCATCTTAAAAAGCAGAGACATCACCTTGCCAACAAAGGTCCGTATAGTTAAAGCCATGGTTTTCCCTGTAGTGATGTATGGAAGTGAGAGCTGGACCATAAAGAAGGCTGATCACCGAAGAATTGAAGCTTTTGAATTATGGTGCTGGAGGAAACTCTTGAGAGTCCCATGGACTGCAAGAAGATCCAACCTATCCATTCTGAAGGAAATCAGCCCTGAGTGCTCACTGGAAGGACAGATCGTGAAGCTGAGGCTCCAATACTTTGGCCACCTCATGAGAAGATAAGACTCACTGGAAAAGACCCCAATGTTGGGAAAGATGGAGGGCACAAGGAGAAGGGGACGAAGGAGGACGAGATGGTTGGACAGTGTTCTCGAAGCTACAAACATGAATCTGTCCAAACTGCGGGAGGCAGTGGAAGACAGGAGTGCCTGGCGTGCTCTGGTCCATGGGGTCACGAGGAGTCGGACACGACTAAACGACTAAACAACAACAACAAGCTTTCATGGACTATCTAGTTCAATTCATTAGATGCATAAAGCATCTATTATAAGACAGATAGAGCTGAGATTGGAGGCTTGGCCAGGAAACATGCAATAGGTATTGCATGTTTCTGCTCACAGAAATGCATTGTGCACTCATTGCCACCTTCTTGACCTAGATGTGACACTAAACATGTTTATGAACTCCATGTTTGGGATGTGCCTCCTGCAAGATAACGGGAAAGAGAAAAGAGAATCCCAAGCATGAGATTCAAATATTTCTTTGAGGTCCCTTCTAGTTTGACTCACAATAGGGAGAAGGCAGGAAGGGCAGCTAGGGCAGGTTTGGCCCCCCACCACAATGGTTTCCCAAATGCAACCAATGCAGTAAACCAGTGCAGCTAAAAACTGGATTGTCTTTTATTATACACACAGCTCTGCATCCTAATATAGGCCCATCTTGCTTTCCATTTCTTAGGTCTGGTTTACGTATACCACAAAATGAGGTGGTAGAGTTTTGAGGCAGTAGAATAGACTGCATCACTTCAGGTAGGGGTCCAGGAATAACATTTTTGAATGCTTCTCCCCCCCCCCAAGGTCTCCCTGCAAGTAGGAAAGTAGCATAGCAAGTGTCTTGTTTTTTTACTTGCAAGGAACTTCATGTGCAGAAGTTTAAAACGGCACCTGTGGTCTACAAATTTAAGTGGTAAAGTTTACTCTACCACCTCAGGATTCTACCAACCCATTCTACTGTGTGTGTAAGCCAGGTCTTGTTAATTACAGTTGGGAACTATTTCAGCACTTGTGTATTTCAGGACTTGTAAAAAGATGAGTATGCTACATACTCATCTTTGTTGGTGTGTTTCAAATTTGGGTCCAATTCCTACAATAATAAATAATAAATTTTATTTATATCCCGCCCTCCCCAGCCGAAGCCGGGCTCAGGGTGGCTAACAACAATAAAATAATACAGCATTCTAAAATCATTTCATTAAAATTAACTCAACTCAAATTGATGGCAACCATTAGGCTAAAGTTCTGTGAAGATTGCCAAAGGAGGGAGTCAGGCTGTGCCCTGACTAAAGGCCTAGTGGAACAGCTGGTGGAACCCTAAATGTTTGCCAGATATGCCTTGCCTTCAACACTTTGTGAGCCGATTTATTTTTTTTTGCACGAACTGAAACAGTCAGACCATATTATAGAGTGCATCTCAGATTATGTAAATTGGCTGTTAGGTATGCTTTTGTGTGCTGTATATAGCTGGCAAGCAATGAAGTCTTCATTCCAAGAAAGAATGAAGGCACTAATTCTGCAACTGCATTATCCCTGTAGATGCTTCCTGTCCGGATGAATCAATTACCATGTTTCATTCACTCACTTTTTATAGGGGCTTCTATACAATGCTGAAGGGACGCGGGTGGCGCTGTGGGTAAAACATCAGCGCCTAGGACTTGCCAATCGCATGGTCGGCGGTTCGAATCCCCGCGGCGGGGTGCGCTCCCGTCATTCGGTCCCAGCGCCTGCCAACCTAGCAGTTCAAAAGCACCTCCGGGTGCAAGTAGATAAATAGGTACCGCTTTATAGCGGGAAGGTAAACGGCGTTTCCGTGTGCTGCTCTGGTGCCGGTTTGCCAGAGCAGCTTCGTCACGCTGGCCACGTGACCCGGAAGTGTCTGCGGACAGCGCTGGCTCCCGGCCTCTAGAGTGAGATGAGCGCACAACCCTAGAGTCTGTCAAGACTGGCCCGTACGGGCAGGGGTACCTTTACCTTTATACAATGCTGTCAACAATTCATTCTCATTCTGCATTTCCCTGTGGTTTGTCTGCCTTTTCTCAGACTTTTCAGAAGAACAGATGAGGAGTGTAAGTGCAGTGTAGATGCCCTTAGTGCTACTCTTTGACATGAGCAGGCAAACCTAGTCCAGCTCAGCACACATTCACTAAAGCCTTTGTAGTGGGTACTGCTGTATCACCACCTATATTTTTAGTTGATATTTCACAGAGACAGCTCAGAGGTCTGAAACCTTGGAGAGCCACTGCCGGTTGATGTAGGCAGTATCAAGCTAGATGGGCCATTGGTGTGACTCAGTAGAAGGCAGCTTCCTCTGTTCCAATACAGAAGGTGGCCAGGTAAGTAATGGGAAGAAAAGCTTACATCCTCCTGCCAGATGCAGTCTCTAAAGAGCCATGCACCAAGATGTTTCAGAGGCAAACCATAGCTAGAAGATGAGATGGCAGACAGTTTTCACACATTCCTGAGCAGAAGTCTATTGAGTGTCAGTCCCAAATATTCTGCCTCTCTCTATGCAACTGGTGGGGCTGAATGGTAAGAGCCTTGTTGCAGTGGGTAATAGCTGTGCTCCCTGTGCATGTGTGTCTGTGTGCATGCATACATGTGCAGGCCATTTCTTTGCCTTTCTTAAAAACAAAACAAACACATGCGATGGGTTGAAGCCAATTGAAGTCATTGTGCAAATGACTTCTCCTCATGCAGTGGAACTTCTCACTCTTTTCCCCCCATGCTCCACTACACTCCTACCTGTTTTGTATTGAAGTTCTCACCCTGGCCACCAGGAGTATCGTGTATGTAGTTTTCACTCAGGTCCACGTCAGTTACTTTAGGCAGGAAACCCTGGGTGGTTGTTGCTACAATGTTGACAGCTGGCTGCCTATAAAAGCAGGCCGGCTGAGCTGTTTGCTGTTCAGTTCTGTTCCAGCTTACAAATAAAGAGCTGCTTTGGAGAAATTGCTGCGTCGTCTGCTATGTCTACCCACTATTTAACACTACCAAACCTACTTTGAAAGCTTAGGGAAACCCCCAGCACCAATTGTGTGGGGTGGTGGGGCTTTTTGATACAACTCAATGTGTGTGCACCAGCTGCATGGGCCAAGACTTGCAAAGGTATTTCTGAATCACACGTGAAGGGTGTGTGTGTGTGTGTGTGTTGTGTGTACAGTTTTTAGACAACAGGGACTAGGAATGATGTCAAAGTTTGCAAAAGTAAGCTTAAAAGCTTCCCCCCAAAAAATCACGTTTGCCTCCATGGGTGCCATACTGCTATCCAGCTGACTCTCAGACTCCTGCATCTTCTGTGGCACTGGGGAGGGCAGAGAGCAAAGAGGCCTCTCAGAATCCTCCAACATGGGCAAATCAGCTCTCTAAGGCTGCAAAGTTTTCCAAACTGGAATGAAGTCGCTGCTAAGCCAAGAATCCAAACAGCTACGGACTGAGATCCAATGAAGATCCAGTGAACCATGAACAGGTATAATATATCAAATAATATTCCTAATAGGGACACAAATATGAGGTGCAAAACCCTCCCCATATATCCACAGCTTATTTCCCTATATCCATCCCCTCAAGCTTTTTAGAGGACCATTTCACTTCAATTGTTGGTGGACACAGACTATGAAGCAGATCAGCTGTGGACAAGGAAGGATTTAGCATCTCCGTGCTGCTTTTGCTCCAGGAATCAGACCCCTTGCCCCCCTGGTTTGTGCATGGTTTAAGGTTTGAGTAACTAGCTTAAGGTTTAAGCAAACTACTGTGTAGCCATCAAGTCTAGTTTGGCTCTTGGCACTGTTTAAGTTTGACGGCATTTTTGCTAAGCTTCACACCCCCGTACACAGTGCATCAAATTATACAATTTCAGGTTCAAAAATGCATTTACTTAATGAGTCAAAAGTTTCAGGAGATAGAAGGAAAAAAATATATCAAAACACTGTATTTAACGACACAGGTTATATAGGAGAACACATACATATATACAACTATTTTATAAGAGTTCCAGCATCCATATTTTTGGTCTAAACCATAGTGAGCAATAGCTCTGTCTCATCACTTTCTGTGGGGGGGACGGGTCCTTTCTGCAGCCTAAGGATCTCCCTGGATGGTACTGTCCTCAAGCTTCAATGGTGCAAAGCAAGGAGTAGGATGAGGAGGCAGGTAGCACTCCCTTTGGAACACTCCTGTGTCACCAATCCAAAGCCACCATTGCCACTATACTTCAAGTGTCTGTGAAGTGCAAACTCAAGTACCCAGTGTGTGGTGTCTGTGGGGACTTGGATGCACAGTAGAAATGCATCCAGTTCCTGAAATAGGGCAACATACAGAACAAGCATCACATTTGCCTTAATGAAATTATTACAATGTTCCATACAGTTTGCAGTAACTAAAAATGTTAAATAATACAAATGTCGGTCAAGAAGACCACAGCTGTACAGAATTCCCATTATTGCTACGTGCCAATATCCACATTTTGATAGCTAACAATCAGCCAGTTTTGCATACAGAATCAAACATAGCTAACCCTGTTTTTACTTCATATGGAAAACAGAAAAACAGGTAGCCTATGTAAATTATACTTTAACATTTTTTAAAACCAACAACAGCAGCAGTGTTCCTCCTAACATACAGCTTGAACTCTGGATGTGCTAATTAAACAAAGGCATTGTGTTTCTTTTTAACAATATAATATTTCTGCACATAGTCTATTAGCTCTTGTTCTTAAGTGCATGTGCTCATCTATGCAGTGGAGGACACTGTCTAATCCAAAGATCTAGGTATGCTGTAAGGTGTCTCTTTACAACTTTCATAGAATGCAGAGCACAGTTTTCAACCATAGCAACTAATGGTCCAAAGGAGACCACTCTACCCTTCAGAGAGTATGGAAGTTTGGACCCACCGTCACCACAATGTCAGCATAGGGAGCAGTCTGGGTCACCTCAATAGCTCGTTCTTTCTTTAGAACAAGCAAGCTAAAGAATTTCTCTGCAACTTCTTTCTTTGTCTTGTTTTTACAGAGGGTCAGAAAACTGAAAGACTTTGCTCCTGTCTGGTACATGTCCTGCATAGGGAACAAAACAAAGGAATAAACCAACGAGGTGAAGTTCAGTTTTACACATGAAAATGATTGGTGAGCAGCTGTGTGATAGATGCTGCACTATTCAGTATTATATTCATCACAACGTTTGTTGATGGAAGGAATCGGGCTTTGGTGAAAGGGTCTTACAGATTGCTCTTCTACTTCCTATTTATCCCCATATTTCTCACTTCATATATAAAGACATAACCATTCACTACTCTCCGTGGGCATAGCCAGGACTTTGGGGGGGGGGCAGAACCTCAGTTACCAATGTATTTTTGATTTTATATTTTTATTGATCTGGGGGGGGGGGCAGCTGCCTCTCCCTGCCCCACCTTGGCTATTCCCATGTTACTCTCACATACACACTATGTTGTATGTCATCGCTGAGAAACCTGCAGCTCTCCAGAAGTCACTGGACTTCCTGTCAGCTTCAGCCACAGTGGCCAATGATTAGGGATGAAATAAACTGTAGTCGAACAGATTCCCCAGCCCTGCATCAGGAAGCATTCAAGCCCGCTGCTTGTCAGAGCATAGACAGGGGTCAGCAAACCTTTTCAGAAGGCCGGTCCACTGTCCCTCAGACCTTGTGGGGGCTGGACTATACAGTGGTACCTCGGGTTAAGTACTTAATTCGTTCCGGAGGTCCGTTCTTAACCTGAAACTGTTCTTAACCTGAAGACCACTTTAGCTAATGGGGCCTCCCGCTGCTGCTGTGCTGCCGGAGCACGATTTCTGTTCTCATCCTGAAGCAAAGTTCTTAACCTGAGGTACTATTTCTGTGTTGGTGGAGTCTGTAACCTGAAGCGTCTGTAACCTGAAGCGTATGTAACCTGAGGTACCACTGTATTTTTTGGGGGGAAATGAACTAATTTCTATGCCCCACACATAACCCAGAGATGCATTTTAAATAAAAGTACACATTCTACTCATGTAAAAACACCAGGCAGGCCCCACAAATAACCCAGAGATGCATTTTGAATAAAAGGGCACATTCTACTCATGTAAAAACATGCTGATTCCCGGACTGTCCGCGGGCTGGATTGAGGAGGAGATTGGGCCAGATTCGGCCCCCGGGCCTTAGTTTGTCTACCCATAGCATAGGACTATCAAAAGAGCCCTGCAAAAACAGAGCAAAGGCCTATCTAGCACAGCATTTCCATCCAGTGAAGCTGAGGGTGGGAGATGAAGGACAAGCAAAAGGAAGTTCTAAAGGAAACGCAGGGCTACTTGAATTCACTATCGCAAGGTATGGTCAAGAAGATATCGTTGAAAGGGGAATGAAGTTGACAAATTAATGGAGGACAAGGGTACACATGGCTTCTAGTCATGACGGGTATTGGTCCCTCTAGAATCAGAGGTAGCATGCCTCTTAACATCAGTTGCAGGGGAACAATGCAAGGGGGCTATAGGCTTTGCACCAAGTCATGTGTGAATGACTCACGACAGGTTCACGGAGCCTGCAGTTCTTTGCAAACAGCTCTCACAGGAGACAGAGGCTGAGCCACATTAAGGGAAGGAAGCATCCTTTGCCCCCATCAATAACTTTGCTTTGTTAGCCTGTGGCAAAGGCATTGCTGACAGGGACTTTGGACAGCGTGCTTCTCTTGGCTTTTATTTCAAGATTGCTGACAGGAAAGAGTAAGGGCTGTGTGCATCGAGAAGACAGCACAGCCAAGACAAAGAGGCCAGAAATTGCCATTGATAAACAGGATATACCTCTAAGACAGGCTTCCTCAAACTCAGCCCTCCAGATATTTTTGGCCTGCAACTCCCATGATCCCTAGCTAGCAGGACCAGTGGTTAGGGATGATGGGAATTGTAGTCTCAAAATTGTAGCCATGTTTGAGGAAGCCTGCTCTAAGAGTTACAGAGTTTAGACTTAGGGACATTTTGATAATTTTTCCTCATAGTAAAGACATACTGCTCTAAGAGTTACAGAGTTTAGACTTAGGGACATTTTGATAATTTTTCCTCATAGTAAAGACATACTTGCATTTGATTTCATTTATTTTTATGTGCAGCTATTTTATTATAATCAGGGCACAACAACTCACATAGACTTGGCAGGCATTCTTTTTATTAACTTGTTGGCAGATATTGTGGCCATGTTAATATGCAATTGTGAACCATGGTTTAGCGCTACATTAGCCTAGCCTTTTCCTAGGCTCAGACACTACCTGTTCGTTCAGAAGGATTCAGGAAGCTTTTGCTTTCACTTAACCACAGCTTGTTTCTTCCAAACTAGTTTAACACTTACAATGTGTTTTATAAAAGCAAAGTGCCACCTTTGAACCATGAGTTATGAAGTGGCCTTGTTGAAACTTAACACTGTGCTAATCTACAGTTTTAAATTTGGACAAAATAACAGGTCATGGTTAAGCCGAAGGAAAGCAAAAGCTTCTCAAACACTCCTAGCAGCTGTTTGGGAAGAGGAGAGGAAGAAGCAGCATATGAACTTAGGCCCATTCATGTAGCACTAACTAAACCATGGTTCAGCATTATATTTGAATGTGTTTAAAAAGCAACTTACCCGGAAAGTATTTAGCAAATCTACAGCTCTTTTATCCTTTTCTTTTTCTTCTTCATTATCTGGAGCATTGTCTTCATTTCCCTACATTATAAAGCAACGCAAGGACTTATAACAGCCACTCAAAGGGTAAATGATGAATGATTATGCTCCTTAAAAGTGTGAAAAAATTCACAGATTTCCCCAGAATTCTGCTGCACATTTGTGGTCTCACAGAAATTTACCAAGGAATTACTCAGTCAAGTTCATTTTGCAAACATGGTCATATGGTTAGACTAGTATCTTAGTACTGCTACCGAAAAGTGTCAGTACAACTGTACACTTAAAGTTACAAAGCTGTCTCAGTTTTTACTTACACATTTATTTTTGAAGTATTTTTTTTATCCTATTTTTCTTTAAGGCTTAAAGGTTTAAACCAGGGTGGCCAACTTGTGGCCCTCAAGATGTTGTTGGACTACAGCTCCCATCTTCCATGACCATTGACCGCAGGGTTGATGGGAGTTGGAGTCGGGCCACAAGTTAGCCACCACCCCAGCTTAAACCAAATAAGTTTTCAACAAAAACAAAGACACTAAACATGCAAAAATCAACCAACAACCAACAGTGCAAATACAATTATAATTCATATTACATTTTCAGATGAAAACTCATAAAACATAGCAGCAGGAACAGAAGCAAGCACACAGAAATCCGCCTTCCACAAACTCAGACCACTGGTCCATCTAGATCAGTATTTTCTAAACTGACTTGGGACCGCTCTCCAGGATTACAGGTTTTTCTCCTAGCCCTGAAATTGCTGGAGATCGATACTCTTCTCACTAGCCTTTCTGAAGAGTCAGGTTTTTTAATTTGGTCCTTGAAGGATCTCAGGATAGGAGCTAAGATTGGCCTTCTTGTGGAGGGTATTCTTTTAGGCAGCAGGCCTGGGGCTGGTTAATATTCTACAGCTTTTTAAATGTGTTTGTGGTGGTGGTGTGTTATTGTTTTGTTTCACTGGGAAAACAGCATGGGGTAGGGGGAAAATCCTCTGCAGGGCTGCTAGTTGCCAAAATCACAACAAATGTGAAATCTGAAAGCAGCTCTTAATCATATCCTCAAGAATGACCCTAAAAGTCCGTGGATAACATTGGATCCAGTTATACTAGACATAAACATTCTTATTTATTGGGTGACAGATAAAACTTGGAACAAATCATAAAACATACCTTTTCCACTGCAACCTGCTTACCCTCAACCTCTAGTCTTACAGAAGTCTCTTGGGTAGAGCCATCAGACGCAGCAGGCACTCCACCATCACTTTCCTGATATTACAAGTTTGGGAGGGGGGAGTGATCAGTCTCTTAGCAAACAAAATTTAATTCTCAGTAATGTTCTTTTTGAGCATATGTTCATTACTCAGTAGCAGATGAATATTTCAGGCTAGACAGAGCTTCTGTGTTGAATTTTATGGTTCCTTTTTTGGACTAAATGTGAGATGTAGAAGCTAAATAGCTGGATCTATTAGAATTTCACCTAAGAACAAGGCCCCAATTCTGTTGAAAGCATAGTTTTTTCCATAATATAACTGGATGTGTAGTCTTTCTTTGCTCTACTCCAAGACTGTTTTTTACACTGCAATCTCACACATGTTGACTCAGAAGTCAGCTCCACTAAGTTCACTTACTAGCTCAGCTGGTTAGAGCATGGTTCTGAAAACACCAAGGTTGCAGGCTTTATCCCTGTATGGGACAGCTGCATATTCCTGCATTGCTGTGGTTGACTCAATGAACCTCAGGGTCCCTTCCAACTCTACAATTCTATGATTCTAAGCCAAGTGTACCTATGACGCTACAGAGAGGGGACTGTCACTAAACTCCACTTATATCAGAATATGGATATGACAGCATGGCTAAGGTATTGGGATGATGAGGAGGCTTCCTGTCCTAAAAGGACAACTCAAAAAAAGAAACATTAATAAGGGAGTGAGAAGAGAAGAAAACTGAAAAGAGGAAAATAAGCTCCCAATGGAATTATAGTGTGCAGGATGACACTACAATGGTTCTTCAACATTAACTTCGTTGGACTGGTCATGTTGTGTGGATGCCTGATGATCGTCTTCCAAAGCAACTACTCTATTCCGAACTTAAAAATGGAAAGCGGAATGCTGGTGGTCAACAAAAGAGGTTTAAAGACACTCTCAAGGCAAATCTAAAAAAATGTAGTATAAACACCAACAACTGGGAAACACTTGCCTGCGAGCGCTCCAGCTGGAGAACAGCCTTTACCAAAGGTGTCATGGGCTTTGAAGACACTCAAACTCAGGACGCAAGGGAGAAACGTGCTAAGAGGAAGGCACAATTGGCAAATCCACACCGTGATCAATTCCCACTGGGAAACCAATGTCCCCACTGTGGAAGGACATGTGGATCTAGAATTGGCCTCCACAGTCACTTACGGACTCATTGTTAAAACCGTGTTTATGGAAGACAATCTTACTCGGCTATGAGGGATCGCCAAAGAAGACTACTTATTTTATAGTATGAACTGCTATTTCAGCTAAAGCACCCAGTTATGGTGTATCATTAATATCTCAGACTTCAGGAAAAACCCCAGAGGAACCTACCCAAACTCATTTTGTTAAGCAGGAAGGAACCAAGACAAGACCCTTACAAAAGTATGGCTGTCTGACAGTAGTGCATTGAGCAAGGCTGAGCTTCCAGATTCCTAGTGTCTGGTGGAGCTGCATGGTGCTGACAGACTTTAAGAGGGCTAAAATATTTTCCAGACTACTCCGGGAAAGGGAAGGAGTGATGTGTAGAGCACAGACCCCAATCTCTCTCCTCTCCCCCACCCCCTAGTTGGAAGAGAAGTAGTTTCAGGCTTTTCATGGCGCCATGGAAAACTTAAGTGCACAGTAATATGACTTTACACTGAAAGTACTTACCATAGGTTCAACAATTTCTTTATTTCCCATTTCTTCTCTGCTACTTTGTGACACAAACTGATAAGTTGTGTCTTGCATAGCTTTTGGAATCTCTGCTGTTGGCAATTCTGAATTGACAACAAAATAGCAATAAGATAATCACACTTAACTTCTTGACTACTGCACCAGTCTTACCACACCACAATTGAGCGACAGGGCCCAGTCATACAGCTATTTCATGGCTCAGTTGATAAATGACTTTTCCATTACTGGAATATGTGCAAACACAGATCTGCACCTTCTGAATTTAAGCATGCTCTTCTTTAGGGTACACTTGCTGAATGTGGTGCATTCCCCCCCAAAACTACAGATGGAGGAGTTATAACAACTAGCTGAAAATAGACATAATTCTAAAATCTTGCCTTGGACATCTTGTTTTTTGCTTCTTTCAACTGCAAGCTCTTGCAACCTTTTTCTTCCATACCTGAGACTTTTAGCAAAGAGCTGTAAAAACAGAATTCATATATATTTTTTCTCTGCAATTCTGGAATATGAATCAAATATTAATATTAATGAATCAAAAACTTAGTAAGTGACAACTAATATGACAGCTCTTGACTTGCTTAACCTTTTCATTGATAAAGAAAGCTTCTGTAGATATTTAGAAATGCCTAACTCACTATTAAATATACTCCCTTAGGATGTAGGCAATCCTGAGCCCTAAGCCACCTCTTCCCCTGGGAAATCTCCCTTAACTGTAGTGCACCTAGCAGACCTTCAAAGAGACCTTCCTTTCCAAGACCAGATAATTCAGGAACAAATCAGATTACTTGGGAACACACTAAAGAAACCTAACAAACATCTAAGAGGGAGGAATGCCAAGTGCTACCTTTAGCCAGTTTTAGGAACCATTTCCCCCCCTTTTCCCTAAGCTTCTGGCTCTTAATTTGAAGAGCGATATTTCCTCCTTTACTGGGGCAGGACCTGTAGTCCTGCCATTTTGTTTAGCTATTTTTATTTGTATCGTTGTAGTAGGTATTTATTGTTGTTTTTAAATGCTTAGCAACAGAAGCAGCTTTAATAGCTGACTATTGGATCTGCAGAACATATGGATAATTCTGATAATCTCGTACTTGCTTTGTGATCTTTGCAATACCCCAGACATTAAAGTCTGTGAAAATATATTGGATGGAGCCATTCTGAACACACAATATTTCAAGATATATACACAAATATGGCAACAATGCAGAAGCATATATGGTGTTCTTCCAGACTGTTGTGATTTTCAGGTGGGATTCAATTACAAATTGCCAAATTCAGGTTGCAAAATTACACTTGATTGTTGCTGGGAGGTCTTGTGCAACAAACACACTTCCCCCAAAGATCAGACTTTTTGCAAGAAGGAAAGTGATAGGAAAATATCCTGGAAAGCATAGGAAACTCCCCACAAACACATCAGAATGAATGCACACTAAATAGTCAACATCATCTTAGCTCCCTGCAAAGAAATCACAAAAACTACTCAACAAATAGGCTGTCTGGAAGCCCCTAAAATAACAAACTGTTACCTTTTGCAAATCTTCACTAATTGTAGTCTGGGTAGGTCTGCCCAGAAGTTTATCCGCACTCCCCAAGTCCTGTAAAATCATCAGCCTTCTTGTAGGGGGTGCAATATCTAATGCAGTTAATGTGTCTTCATAGTCCATAAGCTGGTTTTGCATAGCTTTTCTGCTTAGCTGATTCACATAATCAACAAGTAACTTTCTTTTCTTCTTCCTTCTTTGTTTCCTTGTGAGAACTAGATAAAAGGCACATTCACAAGTGAAATATTACAAGTCAATCCAAAGGATCAGTTTTTGGCCTTTGGGTAGCATTGCCATATTTCAAATGGAGAAAATCCAGATAGAAAAGTTGTTTGACAAAATCATAAAAAGCCATTTTGGAGTTTTTTTAAATGGAAAAACGGTACTGCCGACATGGACTGCCATACATCCGGATTTTCCTGGACATTTACTGATTTCTGCCCTGACACTGCTAGACACAGCAGTATTCCGGATATGACCGGGAAATTCTGCATGTATGGCAACCTTAGTTTGGGGGTAACTTCGGAGCAAGTGCAAGACGACCCCCCTTAACATCATCTGCTGTGGGACTGGCCTTGTCCCAATTGTTTTTGTGTTTATTTTAATTGTTGAGTGGAAGGGAGAGAAGATGGTGTTGCCCAAACTTGGGTCTCCAGCTGTTTTTCGACTACCACTCCCATCATTTATAGCTAGCAAGGGATAATGGGAAGGGCAGCTGGAGACCCAATTTTGGGAAACAGTGGCCTAGGACAGGGGTCGGCAACCTAAGGACCATGTGCCACAAGCAGCCCACAGGGGTCGTTTAACTGGCCCATGAGCTGCCCGCTTGGCGAGTCCCTGCATGCTGCGGTAAACCGGTGCAGCACGGCGCGGGGACTTGCTTTTGCGGTGCCGAAAATCGCATCTGCACAGACACAGAAGCTGGAAATCGCGGGGGGGGGGCGCACGATCCGGCCCACGGAGGGATCTCTGCTGGAGTGAACCAGCCCAGGCAAGGTAAACCTTGCCGACCCCTGGTCTAGGAGGAGAGGAGCTCGGGAGAGCGGGAAACTCAGTGGTTCTGGGTAAGAGAAGGGATGGTGTGGGATGTGAGGCAGGCCAGGTAAGGGGCACACAGTAAAGGCAGTTAGTATCTGTTTTGTGTGCCAGCCCCCCCCCCCAACCTGGGGAATTGTGTTTCTCCTATCGCTCAACCCTTAGTCTGCGGCTGCTGCTGTTTAATACCAGGACAACTCTGAATAACATCTTCCTCATCCATGATCTGATTGGGGATGAGGAGGCTGATCTGGTTTGCTTCACTAAGACTTTGGTGTGTGAGAGAGCAGGCTGGAGTTGGTCTTACCCAGCTGTCCCTACCTGGGAGCAGCATCAGGGCAGACTATGGGGTTAGGGAGGGGCAGTTGTTGTGGTCTATAGAAAACCCATCTCTCTCTTCTCAGGCTCTCTGTCCAGTTGTGTGGGGATCTAGTGTGGGGGTTCCTGGGTAATCGGGACAGATTAGGGATTCTGCTAGTTTACTGCCCGCCTAGTTGCCCAGCAGTCTCCTTGCCTGAGCTGACAGAGCTGGCATTGGAGGTGGTATTGAGGACTCCCAAGTTTTATGTTTTCAGTCAAGAGCAAAATGCGACCAATCTAACCTGAATTGTCAAGTGTTTCAAGTACAAATTCTTCTTCCTCACTGAGCAACAAGGTGGTTTCATTAACTGGGCAACTTCTTGCTTCCTGCTCAGATCTAGGATCGCCTGCAAAACACCAATCCATAACCAGTATAGAATTATTCCACAATGGTAAATAATGAAAGGCTGAATGGTACATTATATGGAAGGATTCCATTTTTAAATTAGTTATTTTTGTACATGTGCCTGAGGAATGTCTTGCTGCTTAATGTTTTGCATACTGTATAGCATTCTTGTATTTTATTGCATGTAATCAACAATTCAATGGGAAATTACTCCCAGGTAAGTGTGTATACAACTGCAGCCTTACCCTATAAAGCAAATTTAAAACCTACACTAGTGGTGGTGTTGTTTTTTAAGGGCAGAAACCATGCTAATTAAAATGTGCGTTCAATATACCGTATTTTTCGCTCTATAAGACGCACCAGACCACAAGACGCACCTAGTTTTTGGAGGAGGAAAACAAGTAAAAAAATATTCTGAATCTCAGAAGCCAGAACAGCAAGAGGGATCGCTGCGCAGTGAAAGCAGTGATCCCTCTTGCTGTTCTGGCTTCTGTGATAGCTGCGCAGCCTGCATTCGCTCCACAAGACGCACACACACCGCCCCCCCCTTTTAGGAGGGAAAAAGTGAGTCTTATAGAGCAAAAAATACGGTATATGTTATGCTCCTGCATTATCTTTTACAATTGGCTCAAACAGGGCAAGAGGGGACCAGAGGGACTTTCTGACTTCACTTGCACAAGTTTAATTTCTAAAACAACAAAGAAGCTTGTGGCAGCTTAAAGGCAGATATTACGACATAAACCAAGTGAACGTTCACAAAAGCTGCAACAGATATTAACAGGAAACCATTCTGCTGATTCAAGCCTAAATGCATGGAATTCAATTTCTCAAACCTGTGCGACTGCAAACAGGTCCTTTTCAGTAGCAGCATCTAGGATGTAGAACAAATTCATACTGCCTACAGAAAACAGGTTTTTCATCAGGATGTAAAAGATGGCTTTACAGCGGTAGCTCGGGTTACAGACGCTTCAGGTTACAGACTCCGCTAAGCCAGAAATAGTACCTTGGGTTAAGAACTTTGCTTCAGGATGAGAACAGAAATCATGCAGCAGCGGCAGCGGGAGGCCCCATTAGCTAAAGTGGTGCTTCAGGTTAAGAACAGTTCAGGTTAAGAACGGACCTCCGGAACCAATTAAGTTTTTTACCTGAGGTACCACTGTATTTACCCAGACTTTCTGTCCTGTGTAGTTTTCTGTTGTTCTTGCTTTCTTTTATTGGTCTGCTACTCTACTTGTTTGGCCAAAACACTCTACTTTTGCCTGAAACACTCTTCTGCTCTAAGTGATCCTTGTGATTTTCAGATGAATTTTCATAATTAATTGTTAACATTTTATTATCTGGTGTTTTAATGTTGCAGTGATTTTGGATATTGTTTTTACTGCAAGACACTTTGAAAAGAAGTCTATAAGCATAAATAAATAAGTTTACAGCCTACAAAAGAGGCTGCCGAATTGGAACTTATCAAGAACTGCAATTCTATCCATTTTGGCCTGAATCAAGTTCATGATTTCCTCTCCCACCACTGCTGTTTATTAACTTAGCAGTGATAGGGTGTGTTATCATCCATTACTGCCACAGTGAATGGTCTCTTTGCTTCTCAAGTACTCCACAAAATTGTCATACTCTGGTTTATTTTATTTTATTGCATTGCATTTCATTTCTATTTCATCTCACTCTTTACAGTTTTTACTCCCTTTATATCCATGTACTCATGACAACACTTCATGCATCTGGTGAAGAAGACTCTAGTCAATGAGAGCTTATGCCATAATAACAGACTCACTTATGGACTCACTGTTAAGACCATATTCACGGGAGACAATCTTACTCAGCTACAGGTGATCGCCAAAGAAGAAGATGCCACAAAAAACCTGTTCATCCAACAACCACGTTGTTGTTTTTGCTGTTGGACTCACAGAGCCATCTCTGGAAATAACTCACCTGCTGTATTATCAGTCGGAAGCTCTTGGAGTAAAGAAAATTCTTCCTCCATGTTGAGGTCCGTAAGAACGTAGTCATTCGGCTCAGCTCCAAGAACAGCATCTTAAGGAAAAATGAACTTAACAATTGGTTTACAAGATACTATTACTTTATACATTGGGATGGGTGTGGGGATTTACCAGACAGCTGTGTTAGGGCTTATCTGGGAGAAAGATTCCAGGAAAGCAAGGCAGGTAGGCAGGCAGGCAGGCAGGCTGGCTGGCTAACAGGCTAACACCAGGCACCAACTCCTATTCCAGCTAGAATGGTTCCTCCTCCTACAGACTAATCTACCACCAGCTGCCCTGGAAAAAGATTTCAACAAAGCAGGGAAGGCGGGCAAACAAGGCATTAGCCACCCCCCACCCCACCCTAGCCTCACTATTACCTAATTCAAGGCAGCAGGTATCACCCCCTTACACAAAGATGTGTTCACTATACCCTAAACCCACACAATCATAAGTCCATTCTGTATTTTACTAAGTACATACCTGTATGTGAAGAAGGCGCAGCAGAGACTGTACTTTTTGAGAATACTAAGGAAAAACCATCTTCCGCAGAAACTGCTGCTTGCCTTCTATCACTGTGCCATTGAGAGGGTGCTCACTTATGGCTTATGTGTGTGGTACGGAAGCTGTACTACCCAGGACAGGATGGGGTTGTGCAGGGTTGTTAAGGCAGCAGAGAGCATTGTTGGCTGCCCACTCTCCACCTTAGAGCAGATTTATGGCACAAGGTGCCATAGGAAGGCACTGGACATAGTAAAAGATCCATCGCATCCTGGTCACTGTCTCTTCGAGCTCTTGCCGTCGGGACGGAGATACAGGACGATGAAGACAAGAACGAGCCGTCTTAAGAACAGCTTCTTCTCCAGAGCGATCTCGGCCCTGAATGGGAAGCCCGGACTTTGAAAGTCATCTAATCTCCCTTGCTGTATTATACTGTATTGATTAATTAGAGTTTTTATGGAGCAGTCAAGTAATTTCGTTGTCCCCGAAGGGGGCAATGACAATAAAGATATTATTATTATTATTATTATTATTATTATTATTATTATTCAAAATTGTTTATAATGTATAATTTTATGGGGGGGTGGGGTTTGCCTTTATATTGTTAACTGCCCCATATTTAGGAGGTAGTGTAGAAATGTCAGATCATAATTTCTGAAGTGCAGGACTGGACAGTGTCTCATGCTTAAGTCACGTTAATTTCCTTTCAGGGTGGGAAATTCAGGAAAGGCTCCCACTTACTTGTGCCTATTGGATTTTGTTCATACGTACCAATCATATCGCCTGCAGTTCCTTCATCTCCAAACCCATCATACTTGAATGAATTGGCATCTTCAGCAAATGTAGTCTTGTCTTCAGTGAAGCTCAAAAAACTGTGATCAGTCAAGAGGCCACCAGAACTAGCCAATATGCTGTCATTGAGAAAGCTTTGCTGCCTCGGCATTTCAATTTCTTCACCTGAAAAAGGACATATGAAGGGCTAGTGGTAACTTCTCCCTCTCCCTCTCCCCTGCAAGTGAGTGTGTGGTTTCAAGTGTATATAAATATGGATACAGATACACACAAGACATATGGCATATAGCAGGATGGATAAAAAGCAACATTTTAAGGTTAATATTGACCTTTAATTTCACTATAATTTTCTTTAAAACGTCTTTTAAAAAATAAAACAGTTTTGAAAATCAATCAAATGCAAAAAAAGAAAAAAAGAATTAAACCTACATGTAACCTCTGAAAGTTAAGACTGAATCATAGAATCATAGAGTTGGAAGAGACCACAAGGGCCATCGAGTCCAACCCCCTGCCAAGCAGGAAACACCATCAGAGCACTCCTGACATATGGTTGTCAAGCCTCTGCTTAAAGACCTCCAAAGAAGGAGACTCCACCACACTCCTTGGCAGTCATCATATATTAAACACATTGAAGGCCTAACAAGATGTGAAATGCACAATCACATATCTGGCTTTCTATTTTCATTTTAAAAATACCAAGGCATGGGCATTGCCAAGAGGGAGGCAGGGGGGCAGCTGCCCCCCCCCCCAGATCAAGTAAAACAATAGAAATACTTAACTAACTGACCAATAAATCACATCGGTTCTGCCCCCCCAACAAAGTCCTGCCCCTGCTAACAAAAATCCTGGCTATGCCCGTGTACCAGGCATGGGCCTGGCGAAATTAGGACTACAGTAAAGGCAGAGGAAGATTCTCCCCTGTGCTGCGGTTCCAATGAAAATCACTATTTGCTCTGGATGGGATGCTGCCATTAGTGACAGTGGCATCTTCTCTCTGAAGGTGTACAACATCTGAGTGGGATTTTCATCAGTATCAAAGGTTAAAATCAGCCAAGCAGAAATTTGCCTCCTGCTCAAGCTGATATAATTCTTTAGTGCAAAAGGCATGCAGGCTGCCTGATTAAAAAACAGATCCATTCTTTGGTGTGGTACTCAGTTCATAATTTTCAGTCATCAGCAACGGTGATTCTAGATGAGGCCTTTATATTGAAAATGGGCCAATTAGAACCTAACACAGAATCATAGAATTGTACAGAGGGGACCCTGAGGATCATCTAGTCCAACCCCCTGCAATGCAGGGATATAGAGCTGTCCCATACGGGGATCGAACCTGCAACCTTGGCGTTATCAGTACTACGCCCCAACCAAGTGAGCATTCATATTCTGACTTTTGAAGAAAGAACAGCCGCCTCACCAAAACTACCACCATGGAGAAGTAGATCCCGTCTATAATCCTCTTCCAGCAAAGTGATGTCCTCAGCTCTGCTCTGGTTCAGTGTAAAATGTTCAGCAACATCAATGGCACTAAGGAGAAAAATGTAACTTTATCTGGAAAGAAGGAATTCAACTGAAAAAGTGTGCTTGTATGTGTTATATAACAGGGGCATATTTTGCTTACAACTCCTAACATCCAATGAACTAAGATTTTATATATTGTATTATTCATATGCAGGGCCGTCTTAAGCATATCCGGCGCCGTGGTGCAAAGCCCGTTTCCCAGAGTTGCCAACTTTTTTTTAGGGAGGACAGCGCTGCTGGCGGGGCAGCGGCTGGAGGACGGCTCCTCCGGCAGGGAAGAGGTGGGGGCTGGACATGGTGCCTCCCGGCTCAGCTGGCAACTTTGGGCCACGGCAGACAGAGGCTCCGGGAGCGGCGCTGCTTCAGCGCAGTATGGCAGAGGCGGGCGAGGGCGGCACCCCGGCGCCCCGCATCACTAGCCTCTATGGGTAAGACACCCCTGTTTGTATCCTTAACACAGACTTTGCCAACCTAGTGCCCTCCAGCTGTTATGAACTACAATTTGCAATCATAAACATAACACTGGCAATCATAAACGTAACACTGACTTTCTGTCAAAGCACTCCAGGAGAAAAAACACTCAGTAAACGCAGCACTGCTTTTATTACTATTTTCATCCACTGGGGGTTTCTATAATACACATATTATGAACATAGTGATATTGGACTGCTCCAGTGTATTGCTCTGGCAGTAATAATCATGCTTACTAAACCAAAAAAATTACCGTATTTTTTGCTCTATAAGACTCACTTTTTCCCTCCTAAAAAGTAAGGGGAAATGTGTGTGCGTCTTATGGAGCGAATGCAGGCTGCGCGGCTATCCCAGAAGCCAGAACAGCAAGAGGGGTCACTGCTTTCACTGCGCAGCGATCCCCCTTGCTGTTCTGGCTTCTGAGATTCAGAATATTTTTTTTCTTGTTTTCCTCCTCCAAAAACTAGGTGCGTCTTGTGGTCTGGTGCGTCTTATAGAACGAAAAATACGGTAAATTTTTCTGTCCAGATAAATCATGCAAAATGCACAAAGTGACAGATATTTGGAAACAGATATCATGGACCCACATCTTTCTCACATGAGGATGAGTCATCCATGTGAAAAACTGCCAACCATAGATGCATCCCAAGGAAACCTCAAAAAATAAGCAAACTGAAAAGCACGTACTTCACCTCAGGGAGTTGTGTGTCAAAATCATCAAATACTTCAGGCAACGTGATGGCATCATAATTCAATTCTGAGTTCCCTTCTGGGAGATCAACAAGTCCTAAAGAGAGATACAGCACAGGATTAATTGTCGTATGCTGAAATTGTATTTATTATATATGTATCCTGCAGGATATAAAGGTACAAGTAAATGTCCAAGGGCATAAAAATATGCTAAAAACAAAGCTGGGGCAGTGTCATTCACATTTGTGTGTCATTTCCTATTCAAGATTGCAAAGGATTGATAAGCATTAATTAAGCAAAAGCGTAAGAGGAACAACCTATTCTACTGAATATGAAAATGCAGGTGAACACTGAAAGCACCAGTCGTACAAGGAACCACCAGACTGGGATGAAACTTAACCGTTATTCATGTCAATAATCTTCAGCAGGCTCTCCAGTGGTTTTCAGCGGATAAGTGGCCACTTAGAGAACAATCTTATACCTGTCCACTCAGAGGTAAGTCCCTTTCAGTTCAATGGGGCTTACTGTCAAGTAACTGAGTATGGGACTGTAACCTGCATCATCAATATTAAAATTCTTTCTAATCCTCTAGTCTTACTTGAACTGCAAGACCCACGGATAATGGGTTCTGCAGACCATTCCTTGTTCTGAAAGAGAACAGCTATGAATAGCCATGTTACTTTGGGAGTCCACAAAAAGATATTTGCTAGAGGACGCAAAGAAATCTAACTGCTCCCCCGGTATGTAGTAATGTATAAGAAACCCCAGGTGAACAGTGGATGCAAGCATACCTGGACGAAAGGCTGACTGCATTTTAAGTAGAGCTTCATTGCAGTCGGACAAGAGGTACTTGGTTTTCCTGTGGTAGATCCGCACCACTCCTAACAAGAGGTGTCCTGAGGTTCGCAGGGCAAGTTTAAACTTGGAAGAAATGTTTACATTATTTAATACTGATGTTTGTGGGAAAGAACACGATAAATGAGAACGCAAGAGACCTGCTGAATCTGACCAAAGTTAATTTAGTTCAGCATCTTGCTTCTTACAGGGGTCCCCCAGATGCTTCTGGGAAGCCCATAAAACAGGACATGAAGAGGAATAGTTCTCCCACCCGACCCCCAGAAACTGGTATTCAATGACATATTGCTTCTGAACCACCTTGGTTCAGTCACTGACAGACCTATCCACCATGAATTTCACTACTCTCTCCCCCCACCCCACTTTTAAAGCCATCTAAGCTAGTGGCCAGGGACGTGGATGGCGCTGTGGGTTTAACCACAGAGCCTAGGACTTGCCTAGGTCGGCGGTTCGAATCCCCGCGACGGGGTGAGCTCCCGTTGCTCGGTCCCTGCTCCTGCCAACCTAGCAGTTCGAAAGCATGTCAAAGTGCAAGTAGATAAATAGGTACCGCTCCAGTGGGAAGGTAGACAGCGTTTCTGTGTGCTGCTCTGGTTCGCCAGAAGCGGCTTAGTCCTGCTGGCCACATGACCCGGAAGCTGTAGGCTGGCTCCCTCGGCCGATAAAGCGAGATGAGCGCTGCAACCCCAGAGTCGGCCACGACTGGACCTAATGGTCAGGGGTCTCTTCACCTTTTTAAGCTAGTGGCCATGATTATATTCTGCGGCTATAATTTCGATAAATGAATTATGCTTTGCAATATGGATTACCCTCTTCTTTTGTCTATCCTGAATCCACTGCCAATCAGTAGCATTGGATTCCCCTGGGTTCAAGAATCATGGGATAGGAGGAAAAATTATCTTTATTTTTCCCTCACCATGCTTAATTTTATGAACTGCTATTATGTCTGCCCTTTGTTGTCCGTTTTCTCAACAAGCCCTAAATACTTTAAGCTTCTGTTGCATCTCAATAACTAACTAGTTAGATAAGTCTTGTAGCTATTTAAAAAACAACAACAGTAAAACAGTAAACAGATGTAACATGTAAAGAGATGTGACAAGTTGATAGGAATGATAGAGGCAGCCAACAGGATGCCAACATTATGCCCTCTAGTTGTTTTGAACTACAACTCCTATAAGTACTGCCAATGTTCAGGGATGAAGGAAGATGTGGTCCAAGAATATTTGCACACCTCACCACAGGTGAAAGGAAATATCTTCTATTTGGACTGCTACAAAGAGGAGCAAACATCTTAATATAATAAATGTGCATCTGGCTGATGGTACTCCTTTAAAAGGTAAAGGGACCCCTGACCATTAAGTCCAGTCGCAGACGACTCTGGGGTTGCGGCACTCATCTCACTTTATTAGCTGAGGGAGCCGGCGTACAGCTTCCGGGTCATGTGGCCAGAATGACTAAGCCGCTTCTGGAGAACCAGAACAGCACACGGAAACGCCGTTTACCTTCCCGCCGGAGCGGTACCTATTTATCTACTTGCACTTTGACGTGCTTTCGAACTGCTAGGTTGGCAGGGCAGGGACTGAGCAACGGGAGCTCACCCCGTCGCGGGGATTCGAAATGTACTCCTTTAGAATGCTGCAAACCAGGTAACTCCCAGGTAACGAGAAAATTTCATCTTCTGAGGTGTCCCAAGAAGTAACTGTCTTCCTACCCTTTTTATTGTTCTTTTTATATTTTAGTAATCAACAAAGGGTGCAGTGACATATGCCCCATAACGATGGGTAAAACCTTAGGGACATTTCTACAGCAGATTTTTATGAGACATCTCAGTGAGGATCAAACCTTTGGGCAGAGAATATTTTCAATAGTCTTCTCTAAATTGCATTCAAATATATGAGATTTTTTGAGTTTCTTATCCCAGTGAGCAGCCAACCATATCTTGGCCAAAGGCCCACGGTTATTCATAAGCAGCTGCGTGTAGAACATTTTGCCAAGACTGTGTTCTTTAACTTGATGAGCTGAAGGGGGGGAAACAGAACAACATACGGTATATTAAATGCTGAATGTGGCATTTTTGTATCATTTTCAAAGCTATTAAGCAAAAACAAAACAAAACCCCCCAACAACCTTGATTTGCAGTGAATGATTTGGAAGGGAGGGACGCTGTTTTTGTTTAAGATTTCCAAGCTCTGCAGGCTTGCAAATTGTTTTAAACAAATGGCTGTGTACAAAAGCTAGGTAGCTTTATAACAAAAACAAAGAAGGTTGATTAGCTACTTCTGTACATAATATCATTTGTACATATTTCGTATCAATCTCCATGCAAGACTGTTGCACGCCACCTCAATCTCTGAGCGATGAGAGATTCCAGGGGTTCCAGGCACTTAAACCAGGGTTTAGGCTTCCTTTTGGGAATGAGGCACAGCAGAGACTATGGTGCCGCTGTGATATATGGTTCCTTTACACATATTTACAACCTGAGCTTCAGAGCGTCAACATTACAAAAGAGTCTTTTTTAAATCTCAGCCACAGCCTTGGATTCAGCAGAAATAAAACATTGTGCTCTGCATCTCTGGCTTTCCAGCCTGAAGCTGGAGTTCTGGGCCACATCAAACTCCAGCTTTGTCCTAACTAAGAGCTGGAGAAGGGCCCCCACCCATTTGCCATCTGACACACAGCCCCCTTCTCCTTTGTTCGCTTAATGGCTCGTCACCTGAACACAGGACTACAGCCTTGCTTGTATTTTAACACTTGTTGGGTCCAGGGGTTAGAATGGGTCTGGCACCCAGTTTAACACCCCCAAGCCTTGATTATATTCTAACACTGGAGCCAGGAAGTTAGAGGAGTCAGGCAGCCTCAAACTCATAACAATTGCAACAAATAACCACCCAAAACAAAATGACTACAGTACATCAGAAAAACACATATGTGAAATTCTGAAACATCAAGGTTGGTATCCAACAAAAGCATACTCACAATAGACCCATTTAAATCAACAGAAAAGTTACTCAGGTCCATTAAATTCAGTGGGTCTACTTAAGAGTATGACGGCAAACAATTTTTATGCTGTTTGAAAACAATAAAACGTGAGATTTATAGAATGTAAATCAATAAACTGTGTGTCATTTGCCAAGGCTACAATATTTCTAAGCATTTTCACCTGGAAGTTGAAGCACTGAACAAGCCTATATGCACCTACTCAAAAGTAAGTCCGGAGAGATTAACTTGCAGGTGAAGTGTCTAAGATTGTAGCTGAAGCTTGGGACATTCCTGCAAAATAAAGTAATAATTTTATTATTTATACCCCAGCCACTCTGGCTGGCTTCCTACACACACACAAACAAAAACAGTTAGATGTAGTTTTGGGCTCAGTGTTTTGTTTTTAGGAATCACAAAGGAAAAACTAAAAACCCAGAACAGCAGAAGAAATGAAACAGAAAAACAAAAAGACCATATGCTTTTCTGAGAAGTACTAGAGTACGTACCAGAAGTTCTTGTGCTATAGTAGAACAAAAATGATTAGGGCAAAACACGGAAGAGAGCGAGAATGAATGAAAAAAAGAACAATTTACTAAATTGGAAGGGTCAGCATCCTGCATCTACAGATCCCCAGGTTCATTGTGGGGGAAGCCATGTGTTTTAAAGGTACAGAGCACAATTCATACTGGCCACCACAAATCACCATTAAGTGAAGAACTGCAAAGAAGGCAATTCTCCGCCTGCATAGAAATGGCAATATTAGGTTAGAAGCCAACAGTTTGGTGCTTTTTTTATGGGTGTACGTATACCAGTGACAGATTTACGTATAAGCTAAACAACCTAGGGTCCCACTCTATTGGGGGTCCCCCCAAAAAAATTAAAGGGGGGAAAAACCTGGATTTTTCCAAAATAAAAGACAGAAAAAGTAAGTTATGTGCAAATGGCTTTAGATACCTACTAGATCCATCAATTACCATATAGCATATATTCAACACAAAAACCAGCGACAATTTGTTGACAAAGGACAGCTGGACATATAAAGGGCCCCATTACCTTCAGTAGCTTAGGGCCTCATCCAGCCTAAATCCCGCCCTGCGCACCCCCCTAAACATTTTGTGAATCTTTGTATCCATTTACTGCATTCATTTTTCCCGATTCCAACTATAAAATGGTGATTTTCTAGAGTCAAAATGAGAATTTAAACATTTTTTTAGAATAAAAGCACTGGTTCTAAAATGCTTCCAGGGAGACCTCGCTTCCCATGAATGGACACAAGGCGCCAGAGGACCTTTCCCCGGCTGTATGATCAGAATGGCAGAAACTGCGAGGGACCCCCGAAGGTCATCCATCCCAACCCGCCGCTGCGATGCGGGAATCGCAGGGGAAGAATCCTCTTCTGCTTTAAAACCTCCAAGCGGTTTCCAACCAACCTTCCCCGTGAATTCGAACACGAAGTGAGAGAGAGAGAGGCCCGGGTCCGAAGCAAAGGGGCAGCAAGGCACGTGCACACGGAGGGGGCAGCCTTGATTCGGAGTGAGGCTGCTTTAAGAGAGGAAATGGAGACGGCTGCGTTCAATTACCACAGAAGTGGCGTGAGGAGGAGGAGCTGCGGGAGATTGGGAGGCTCGTTAAGGCCCCTGAGGAGAAGGAAATTATTATTATTATTATTATTATTATTATTATTATTATTATTATGGGCTCAATAGAAAGGAGTGGAAGGAGGAGGGTTTGGGGAGCTCATGATTAACCGTGGACCCCACGTTGCAGGTTAATGTCAGCATTTATTTCTCCTCATTATTATTATTGAGTCGCTGATTTGGAAGGGACCCCTTGAGGCCATCCAACCTTTCCTTAACCCGTGAAGGGAAAAAAGCCCGCCCTTTCCCCCAAGTCCTAGATTCCTATCAGGGTTGAGTCCGGAAGGGAAACACCCGCCTCCCCTCGAGGGCGAGCGGGTCTCGTGTGAGTCTCCCCTCGCGTGTTTCTTTTCCCTACACGTGTCGGCGCTGAGGGGGCTGCCGCTTCCGGACTTGAGGTGGTGTTTTTTTTTTTTAAAGGCGGGTTTTAAGTGAGGCGAATATGAGGAGTCGGGAAAAGAATGTAAAAGAGGTACTGTATAAGTATAAGGGAGTACGCTAACAAGTCAGACTGTTCAGGAAACCGGTCAGAAATTTTTTAAAATAAGAGATTTTGGCGCCTTTTCTGAGGCGTTTGTGTGAAAGGGGGCGGGGCTTCGCGGGTAGCTTGCGGAGCTCGCCACGCATGCGCTCTCCCCGCTTGCGGACCCCGCCCCCTCGAGGTCTTTTCCCGGCCGAGGGAGAAAGGAGCTTCCGAGGGCTGCGCATGCGTGTCGTGATAGGCTCGTCTCTTATTATCGCCTCCCTCTCCCAGCTGCGCACGCGCAGCTCGTTTAAGGTGCGCTGGTCCTTGGTAGGTCGTGCAAGAGTGATGGAGAGACTTCGGTGGATGTTTCAAGTCGAGGCGCTGCAGAGCTTAGCCTTGGTACCTGGAGAGGAATTGCACCAGCCCTTTCCAAATAAGCAAATCAGCCACAAAATTAGAAGACGCCTGCTTCTTGGGAGAAAAGCAATGACAAACCTAGACAGCATCTTAAAAAGCAGAGACATCACCTTGCCAACAAAGGTCCGTATAGTTAAAGCCATGGTTTTCCCAGTAGTGATGTATGGAAGTGAGAGCTGGACCATAAAGAAGGCTGATCGCTGAATAATTGATGCTTTTGAATTATGGCACTGGAGGAGACTCTTGAGAGTCCCATGGACTGCAAGAAGATCCAACCTATCCATTCTGAAGGAAATCAGCCCTGAGTGCTCACTGGAAGGACAGATCCTGAAGCTGAGGCTCCAAGACTTTGGCCACCTCATGAGAAGAGAAGACTCCTTGGAAAAGACCCTGATGTTGGGAAAGATGGAGGGCACAAGGAGAAGGGGACGACGGAGGACGAGATGGTGGGACAGTGTTCTCGAAGCTACCAGCATGAGTTTGACCAAACTGCGGGAGGCAGTGGAAGACGTGGCGTGCTCTGGTCCAGGGGGTCACGAAGAGTCGGACACGACTAAAAGACAGCAAACAACATGAGCACATGTGGGAGTGGCCTAAGGTGGCTGCATCTTGGAATAGTTGTTTATTACTATTACTATTATTATTATTATTATTAGAATTTCTATACTGCCCTTAATCTGAAGATCACAGGGTGGTTTACAATATAAAAGCACAAAAATACATAACATAGTAATGACAAAAGTATTGCACCCCCATAGATCACCCAAAAAGTTGTTTTTGGGGGGAGATCACAGGTAAAAATCCCCCCCAAAAGAGGACATTACGGGGGGCAGGCTTTTGTTGGGGGAGGGGCAGAACCACAGTTAATTGAGTATTTTTTGTCTTTCAGTACTTTTAGAGGATTTGGGGGGCAGCTGCCCCCCTCTTGGCCACGCCCATGGTACCCCCCCCAAAGTTTAAATGATTGATAATAATAATTTTATTATTTATACCCCGCCCATCTGGCTGGGTTTGCCCAGCCACTCTGGGGGGTTTATAGCACGTAAAACATTGGACATTAAAAATTTCCCAATATTTCACCAAAGGTCTGAGATAAGAGGAATGGTTTTTACCTGGTGTCTTAAAGATAACTAACAGGCACCCAACAAACTTGCCGGAGGAGAACACTCCACAAGCGAGGGGTCACCATAGAAAAGGCCCATTCTGCATTGTTTTATTTGGACTGCTTCCTTGTGTATTTTAAGGTGGGTATTAATATTTCATTATTTTCGTAACTTTAAAATAAATAAATGCCGCACTAAATGAACTACTAAATGAACTACCTTGTTCAGCATGTGACATGTGCATATAACTGTTAAGCAGTTTTCCTAACTCTTCATTGTCTGATGAGTTAGCTGCAGGCTGGCCTAATTAGAATTGGTCCAGACAGGGCTCAACTGCGACACCGATATAGTCTTTATAGAACTGTGCTCTATAAATTTGATCATCAGTCCCCTACCCAGGACACTGCAAAAGTGAACTAATCACATCTGGACAGCAGGTGGTGCTGTATACCATATTAGCAGGACGTAAACAGAAGGTTATCTCAGTAATTTCCATACTGTGTGTCTGGATACACTAGTATAATCTTAATGTGCCATGAGGGATAACTTTAAAATAAAATCTCCTATGAGCCTCAGGTGCCCGTTGCATCTCTGCACAAGATGCATGATTCACCACCCAGGTCTTGCCTCCTAATCCTGGCTTCCTCACCCTCGCCCTCCAGATGTTTTTGGCCTACAACTCCCATGATCCCTAGCTAGCAGGACCAGTGGTCAGGGATGATTGAAATATACTCTGAGTGTGGATTTCATGCTCTTTATTCAGCTCAAAGTAGTGAGGGGGAATGGAAGTTCTCCTGAAATGTCTGCTTTATATACATTAATTACAAAATGGGCCCCACATGATTGGCTAATTCCAGGATTCTCCTGTAGGCCAATCAGGTTGCGGATTCACTTCCACCTGGAGTTGGATTGGGTGGCTCCTGCGGACCAATGAAACTGCTGCATTCTGGATCCTATCGTTCTAGGACCAATGAAACTGCTGCATTCTGGATCCTATCGTTCTAGGACCGATCAGACTGCTGCATTCTGGATCCTATTGTTCTAGGACCAATCAGACTGCTGCAATTTGGATCCTATTCAACTCAACAGGAATTGTAGTCTCAAAACATCTGGAGGGCTGAGGTTGAGGAAGCCTGTCCTAATCAGTCTCTACTGGGGGAAGTTAATTCTGTTGTATCTCTGAATTAGTTACAGCAAAGAAGTTAAGAAGAGGCTCGCAAATAGATTTAAAGGGCATGTGGAGGTTGGAGATGGGAGGAAACTTATGCTGTGCAAGGCAAAGTTGTTCTGCTTTCCCAAAGCACTCTTTTAAATACAACCCAGAGTTTGTTGGCTTGCTTTTGTTGCGCTGTAGTGTTGAAAGAGTGCATCGCAGGGGGTTGGACTAGCTCAGGGGTCAGCAACCTTTTTCAGCAGGGGCCAGTCCACCGTCCCTCAGACCATGTGGTGGGCCGGACTATATTTTTTTGGGGGGGGGGGATGAATGAATTCTATGCCCAACAAATAATCCAGAGATGCGTTTTAAATAATAGCACACATTCTACTCATGTAAAAACACGCTGCTTCCCGGACTGTCCGTGGGCTGGATTGAGAAGGCGATTGGGCCACACCTGGCCCATGGGCCTTAGGTTGCCTACCCCTGGACTAGATGAACAGCTCTGCAGTATGGTGCCAGTGTGGTGTAGTGGTTAGGAGCAGTAGACTCGTAATCTGGTGAACCGGGTTCGCGTCTCCGCTCCTCCACATGCAGCTGCTGGGTGACCCTGGGCTAGTCACACTTCTTTGAAGTCTCCTCAGCCCCACTCACCTCACAGAGTGTTTGTTGTGGGGGAGGAAGGAAAAGGAGAATGTTAGCCGCTTTGAGACTCCTTCGGGTAGTGATAAAGGGGGATATCAAATCCAAACTCCTCTTCTTCTTCTTCTTCTTCTTCTTCTTCTTCTTCTTCTTCTTCTTCATCTTCTTCTTCAGTTCTGTGTTTCTGCTCCAGATGGCAATAATGTGGTAACATTGGGGAAGCCTCATAGAACAAGCAACAGAGCAGAATAATGTGCCGACAGATCAACATAAATCCGTCACTAATGTGCTTATTACTGTGTCAGTGGCATATTGCAAAATATAAGTGCAGAAAGTGCCACCTGTCTTCAGGGACCGTACGTGGCATCTTAACGTCCCCAGCTAAATGATGACTTGCCGCTGCCTCTGTAATTTCAGGTTTCAGAGCAGCTGGAAGACACCGCTGCCTAGCAACAAGGGAAATCCTGGTGTGCTCAGGAGGGCTGAAAACAGCACCCTGGTTGCTTGTAAAATCCCTCAGAACCATGTGCTTTATGTGCTTTGCTGAGGAGAGTTTGAGTTCTCTCTCTCTCCCCCCTCCCCTGTGCCCCGATCTTGGCAAGTTTCTAAAATAACACCAGCCTGTTTATTTACTCCCAGAGCTTGCAGTATGAGCAGATTCCCAGAGGAGGGGTTGGAAAGCTTCTAGAGGCGGCGGCTGCCTGTTTGTGAAGAGAGGGCGGTCAGCAAGCAATAAAACTATTGTTGAGGGTTTTATAAAACAGGCCTCTGCCTGGGCTGCTCTCCAGCAAATTAGAATGGGGAGAAAGAGAGAGAGAAGTGTAGTGTTGTGGTTAGAGGAGTGGTTCTCAAAGGGTGTGATGCGCCACACTGGTGTGGCAAGAGAGGATGGCAAGCATAGCAGGAAGATTCAAAGACCATCAAAGAAACATCTAAACATTTCAGTGTAGTATAGCATAGTATCAAAATATCCATTTTCTGCAAATAAATAAAAAAATACCTTTGCAAAATGATACTGAGGACCATCCTAGTTGTGATCCAAAATTGCTGTTCAAAGACAGTACTGGAGAGAAGAAGAAGAAGAAGAAGAAGAAGAAGAAGAAGAAGAAGAAGAAGAAGAAATAGTGGCGGCTTGGGAAACCCAGCCAGGTGTGGGGGATATTACTATTACTGTTATTTTATTTACACCCTGCCCACCTGGCTGGGTTTCCCCAGCCACTCTGGACGGCTTTTGTTGTTGTTTAGTTGTTTCCGACGCTTCGTGACCCCCTGGACCAGAGCACGCCAGGCCCTCCTGTCTTCCACTGCCTCCCGCAGTTTGGTCAAACTCATGCTGGTAGCTTCAAGAACACTGTCCAACCATCTCGTCCTCTGTCGTCCCCTTCTCCTTGTGCTCTCCATCTTTCCCAACATCAGGGTCTTTTCCAGAGAGTCTTCTCTTCTCATGAGGTGGCCAAAGTCTTGGAGCCTCAGCTTCAGGTTCTGTCTTTCCAGTGAGCACTCAGGGCTGATTTCCTTAAGAATGGATAGGTTTGATCTTCTTGCAGTCCGTGGGACTCTCAAGAGTCTCCTCCAGCACCAGAATTCAAAAGCATCAATTCTTCGGCGATCAGCATATATAAAACATAGTAAAACACCAAACATTAAAAACTTCCAGGAACAGGGCTGCCTTCAGATGTTTTCTAAAAGCTGTATAGCTCTTCTACAGTACTCCATGTCATATTGTTGGTAACAAGATTTTCAACTGACAAATATGGACCTTTCTTTTGGTTACTGGTTAGATAAAGGAATAGCGGTGGGGCCATGACCCCTGGCACACATTTTAAAGGGGTACAATCAGGCGCCCCCACGACAGGCACAGAGCCCTGGCAGTGGAGGCGCAGCAGCGGGTGGGTTAGTATAGTGAGCAGGTAGATGAATGGAGGCAGCTGGTGAGGAGCCAATTGGAGGTGGGCTCCGTTCGCCCTCTGTGCAGGCTCCCTGCACGGCCCCCACCCCAGATGCCCAGTCCACCGGGGGGTGCAACATTTGCCCTGCGCCGGGCACCAGCAACCCATGGTATGCCCCTGTTGGTGAGCAATGCTCAGTAGTAGTGGTGGACCTTTGTGACAGGCAGCCCCAAGAGATGTTTGGAAGCTGTTGGGGCGCAGCAGACGTGCAGGGCATTTGCCCCCCTACTCCCAATATTGCTGAACTACAACTCCCATCATCCCTGGTCATTGGCCATGCTTGCTGTGGCTGATGGAAGTTGGGGGGTTCAGCAACATCAGTACCTTTCCTTCTATAAACATTTCTGCTGTTATGGTTTTGAATTTAGAAGCCAAATGTAGGATCTACAACAAAATGTTTCAGGATGGAGTGATTCTGTCCCGTCCGTCTGATACCCAGTTTTATGTGTGTGTTCCCTACCACCACAACAGATAGGGTTCCTCCAGGTGTCCCTTTTATTGTGCATTTGTTCTGATGGGATCAGGGCAGTTGTACACAACCCTGCTTTCAACACTGTTTAGACTCAGAAAGTTTCAGTGCAGACAAACTGCTGTGTTTCCAGTTGATGCATGCCCCGTAGCATCCCACTGAAATCCTGTAACTTTCTGTTCTTCAAATGTTCCAGGTTGATTTATTTTTGTCTTGCTTTCATTGTGCTGTAGCGCAGGGGTGCCCCTCCAGAGAGCAAAAATGCAGCAACATTGGAGAAGCATAGCAGAACAACTAATAGAGCAGAATGATCTGTGAATGTTGTTGTTGTTTAGTCGTTTAGTCGTGGCCGACTCTTCGTGACCCCATGGACCAGAGCACGCCAGGCACTTCTGTCTTCCACTGCCTCCCACAACTTGGTCAAACTCATGCTGGTAGCTTCGAGAACACTGTCCCACCATCTCGTCCTCTGTCGTCCCCTTCTCCTTGAGCCCTCCATCTTTCCCAACATCAGGGTCTTTTCCAGGAAGTCTTCTCTTCTCATGAGGTGGCCAAAGTATTGGAGCCTCAGCTTCATGATCTGTCCTTCCAGGGAGCACTCAGGGCTGATTTCCTTAAGAAGAATGGAGAGGTTTGATCTTCTTGCAGTCCATGGGATTCTCAAGAGTCTCCTCCAACACTAGAATTCAAAAGCATCAATTCTTAGGTGATCAGCCTTCTTTATAGTCCAGCTCTCACTTCCATACATCACTAGATCTGTGGATAGCCTAGTCTAAATCTATCTACCGGTAATACACTATTAAGGGGCAGATGGGGCTCATCAACCTGGCATGGCAGCCCATCTAGGAGAAGGAAAACTCTGATCCCAAATCTCTGCTGCCTTGCGGGACATCTTTGGGAGAAGAAAAGGCTAAGGAGTAAACCCTACAGAAATCCAGAATGGAGTCCCTAAGGTGGTTGGAGGGTGCCTTGTGTGACTCCTTCCAGCAACTCCTGCAGCCAAGCTGGTGCCAAACCTATTGCGCTGCTTTCCTTTGGACCACATCAGCGAGGCCAAGAGGGTCTTGTCATCTGGACAAGATTAAAGAAAGATAATACTTCGGGTTCTCTGTCTTGCAGCTAACTATAGTATTCACTCATTAAGATCCAACCTGAGAAACTATTCAGAATGTATAAAGGTGTTTCAAATGTTTGCTGGAAATGCCAAGAACACGAAGGGATATTTTATAATGCTTGGCAGACATGTGAAAAGGCTAAAAGATATTGGCTACGTGTACATACATTGATACAGCCAATTTTAAAAGTTCATATTCAATTGAAGCCAGAACTCTTTCTTTCATAGTTAATGGATACACAACTGGAAAAGGATGATGGGAGATTAATCCAATTTATGATGGCAATGGTGAGATTGCTCTATGCACAAAGTTGGAAAGATACAGCCTAAAGGAATAGCTGATAAAACTATTGGACTCGGCTGAGGTGGCAAAATTAACTTGTTTAATTAGAGAAAAACCATTACTGACATTTATTAATTTATTAATGAACTTGTAATTTATTATTAATTTATTAATGAATTTGTAATTTATTAATGAACTTGTAATATCTGGATTTGAAGATTGAAAAAAAATACTTGTTTACAGAGGCAATGAATTATATATTTTTTTAAAAATGTAACTGTATAGACCCAGTAATTTTTGGCACTATATAACTATCAATGTTGATGCCATTGCTGGTGGGGATGATGATGAAACAGTTTAGGATTTCCTCCATCTGCCTGCAATGGCATCATCTCCCACCTCCTGCCACCCTGCAAAAAAATGCAAAGATGAATCATTTGTAAAGCCAAGTCATGACTGCAGAATCATGACATAATGCAAGCACACATATCTTAATTATGCAAACACTTGATTTGAATAATAATATGCTTCCTGGTCACAGAATTATATTTTGATTTCCCCCCTCTTTCATATTTGAGGGTTGAGCTGGCACACACAAGCTGCAGTTTATTCTGTTTCCCCGATGTTTACTTAACTGCAGTTAATTTCTGCATTATATTTGAGCTTTCATACAACATAGAAGCCACATCTGGTAAAACGAACAGCATGTAGTACATGTTTAGTGTTCATTTTCATGTTATGTGATTGCAGAAAAAAAGTCAATTTGCAGCATCCTTAGCCCAGTAAATTTCAGGATTAAAGTGATGAAATTTGGGGCAGTATTCCAGCACATAGTTCTTTCCTGCTGTTTTCACAGAGGAACAGACGAATGCAAGGGCAGAAAGAGTGGGAGGGTAGCAAAGTTGCCCTGTAACGTTCCTTGTTGTTCCACTGGTGTGAATGAAATTTAGTGCGAGATGCTGGTCCTATATAGGTCAAGAAGCCACCTTTTCATAATGCCACCAGGTGTTGCAGGAACATCAGAAAACAGGACATAAGCTCTAGCATTATGATCAGGAAAACTAACACAATGTTCTCCACCTCTGAATGCCCCAACACAGTCACTGGAATGCCAAAGAAGCTGTTTGCACTGACCGATGACCCCCTGCCCTTGCATCCACCCTCGATTTGTCATGGGAGGGAGTTTCTTCTGTTCGCTCCGAGTTTGAAGGACCTTCTTGACAGGACTGGGGCTCCCATGTCCTCTGAACACGAACGGGCTCTGGCCCCAAACACATCCCTGTTGGGATCGGAGCTCTCCCAGTCTGCACACTCTGCTTTCAGCTCCCGTAAGGTACTGTGCAGCTGCAACAACTTCTCCAGCAGCTCTTGGTCCTGGAGTTGCATTTCTAACTAGAAGAGGAAACAAGCGAGAAAGGGAGAACTATTTGAGCGACTCTGTAGCATGGTAGCTTCGACAAGTGTTTGGCAGGAGGTCTCCCAGTCACATCTTACCTGCAGCTCTTTGCATGTGTACTTGGGAGTAAGCCCTGTGGAACATTGCAGGGTTTCCTTCTGAGTAAACAGGCAAAGGATTGGGCCACACATGGTCAAAGTGAAACTACATTTTCTCAGTCCCCCATCTAAAATTTGAAGATCGTGGGATTTTATGTTAAAAAATTTAGAGCATATGGAGGTGGGGAAAGAATTCCTCAATGGAATAAAGGCAATATATACTGAACAGAAAGCTAAGTTAATTGTTAACAATGTGATTACGGAAGAAATAGGGATAACCAAGGGTACACGACAAGGGTGTCCACTTTCGCCACTGTTATTCATCATGGTCCTGGAAGTCTTTCTAAAATCTATAAGGGAAAATGAGGTAATAAAAGGGGTTGGGGTAGGCCGGAATGAATATAAGGTTAAAGCCTTTGCCGATGATCTGGTCTTAACAGTAGAAGAACCTTTGGAAAGTGTTAAAAACATACTTATAGAGGTGGAAAGATTTGGTCAAGTGGCAGGATTTATACTGAATAAGAAAAAGACTAAAATAATTGCTAAGAACATGGATCAAGATACGATAGGAATAATGCAACAACAAATAGGTATAGAAGTGGTGAAGAAGGTGAAATATTTGGGTATCTGGATAACCCCAAAGAATATTGATTTGTACCAGAATAATTATGTACCAGTGTGGAATGAAATAAAGAAAGATCTGGAGGTGTGGGGACGAATGACGCTATCGCTGTGGGGAAGGATTTCATCGATAAAGATGAACGTGCTGCCAAAATTGTTATTTTTGTTTCAGACAATTCCAATAATCAAAGGGACGGTGACCTTTAAAGAATGGCAAAGAGTAATTTTAAGGTATATATGGCAGGGTAAGAAGCCAAGAATTCAATTTAAGTTATTAACAGATGCTAAAGAAAGAGGAGGCTTCGCCCTGCCAGACTTGAAATTATATTATGAAGCTTCATGTCTCTGTTGGTTAAAGGAATGGGTAAAATTAGAAAATACAGAGTTGCTAGACATAGAAGGATTTGATAACAGATTTGGGTGGCACGCCTATTTATGGCTTGAAAAAAAAATCCATAAAGGTTTTGAGAACCACATTTTCCAAAGATCGTTGATAGAAATATGGGATAGGTATAAAAGCCTACTTGAACCAAAAACTCCGCACTGGTTATCTCCATTAGAGGTTATGAGTGTTAAGAAAATCAATATGAGAAGGAATTGGATTACATATGGAAATCTGATCGTTAAGGAAGGGGGGAAATGGAAAATGAAACCCTATGAAGAAGTAAAAGAGTATGTATATGATTGGTTGCATTATTTTCAAATAAATGAAATGTTTAAAAAGGATCTTAAGGAATATGGATATACAGAGAAAGATTCAAAATTTCAAACAGAAATAATAAATAATGAATATAAGATTTTATCTAAAATGTATAAGATATTGTTGGAATGGCATACAAAAGATGAAGAAGTTAAATCTGTTATGATACAATGGGCCAGAGATTTTGGATATAATATACAATTTAAAGATTGGATTAAACTATGGAATGAAAATATTAAATTTACCGCATGTACTGCGTTAAAGGAAAATGTTATGAAAATGAATTACAGATGGTATATTACACCGGTAAAACTTGCAAAAATGTATAAAACATGTAAGAAATGTTGGAAATGTAAAGAAAAGGATGACACTTTTTACCATATGTGGTGGGAATGTAAGAAAGTGAAGAGCTTCTGGGAATTGAAAAAAATGAATTGAAAAAAATGTTGAAATATACATTTGCTAAGAAACCAGAGGCCTTTCTTCTAGGAATCACAGGAAATGAAATAAACAGAAAGGATTGTAAACTTTTCCAATATGCAGTAACAGCGGCAAGAATATTACTGGCCCAGAGATGGAAACAGGAACAAGTACCTACTTTGGAGGAGTGGAGAATGAAGCTGATGGACTCTGCAGAACTTGATAAAATGACAGGGAAGATCAGATATCTACGAGATCAAAAGTTTATCGAGGACTGGGGAAAATTAGTCGAGTATTGGGGAGGTATAAGTGACAATGAAATAACGTTAGTGGCATTTAAAGAAGCTCTGTAAAAACTTAAGAAATATTGTAAGAAAGAAAAACAGGTGTGGAAGGGCATGATAAAAGGCAATAGAAAATTTAGGAAATGTGTAACTAAAAAGTTTAATTCGGATGGTTGTCAGAAAGGCTGATGGAAGTACAAAAATGAGAAAATTTGTTAAGTTGAAATGTTTATCTATTGTTCTTGATGAAAATTAATAAAAAATATTATTTTTTTAAAAAATTTGAAGATCGTAAGAGTGATCCACACTACAGAGTTACTGGGAAGCCCTATGTGGGAATGCTTAATGTTCTCTTAGGTCTCAGGAACAATCTTGGTGCAATGTTAAATGCATCTTTGCATTTAACTGGACTAGTTTCAACAGGTGAGTCTTTAGCATATGTGCCTCTGGGGTGCAAAGATCCACCCCCCAAATTTAGTTTAGCCCCAGCGCCATTGAGAATGACAAGTGCCGTCGTTGAGTCTGACAAGCGCTGCCATTGTGAATGACAAGCGCCACCGCTGGCGCAGCACATCTTTGCTAAATAAGTGCACAAAGTCGAAAGTCCTTTAGTGAAACAATAGGTATACATTTCGGTAATACCTAGGTATATATGTATTTTGTTTTTCTAGCTTGATCAAAATTATTATTTCATAACAAGTAGATAGTTAAGAGCTTAGGCGGCTTCAGCTGTGGCACCTGGTGCCCCCCAGAATTCGGTGCCCAGGAGCTCCACACCCCTTGCACCCATGGGTAAAGACGGCCCTGGGTTTCAAAAATGCAAATAGCATCAAAGGGAGAGATAAGTTTTTATCAGCATCACAGCAGGCATGGAAGGGAGGATTCAACCCTTCCCTCCCGCTGCAGCTCTGAGGAAACTTTTCCCTGTGGTGCTCATTTTGCATTGGGAGGAAATTCCCCGTGATCTGTGCTCCCCATCCCAGAGCTAAGGCAATTTGCATTAAAATAAAAACAATCCTGCATCTTAAATGCAAAGATGTATATACCTGTTACATCACATTGGAACAAGTTTGACTCTCTGGTTAATGAATTTCTTGACCTGCCAGTGTTAAAAGCATTGTAGCTCTTGACACTGAAGGATATAGGCATGGGATTGATGGCCATATTTACAGTAGAGCAGGTGACTTCCTTCCGATATTCCTTAGAGCAGTACTGCTGGGTGTGCTAAGGTAAAGTGGAGAGGCAGTGTGGTGTAGTAGTTAGAGTCCCAGGGTTCAAATCGCCACTCAGCCAGGAAGTTCTCTGGGTGAGCTTGGACCAGCTATTGCCTCTAAGCTTAACCTACCTCAAAGGGTAGTTGTGAGGATAAAAATGGAGAGGAGAACTATGTTTGCATGCCGCCTGAACTCCTTCGAGGAAATTAAATCAAATCACTAATAAACTGGAGTAAGGAAAGACCTTGAGGGCTAAGTATCTTTTCCAGTACCTTATGATCCTGCCTGCACTCTGCATCTTATCTCCTTTGGAGATTAGGAAGGTTCGAACGTTTGCCAGACATTCTTCACCATTGCAAACCCTCCAACCTTTCTCCAATGAAGATAGGGACG